GGGGATGCGTCCATGTGACATATATATTTGCACAAACGGTGTGCTATCTCGAGACACCGACCACGGATTGCAAAGGTAGCGGTTGGGACAGCTCGGGCAAAATATTACTTGTTGTGCGAATTTGGTGCCGAGATGGTGAAATGGGCTCGAGTCTGCTGTGCATTTAGGGCGCCCAGACACCAGACAGCCATGGCTAAATTTTCACGCCCCTGTGCATGAAAATTATTATTTTTCTCGTGCACACATACTCCACCCACGATCCCTCTAAACAGTTTTTTTTTTGTAAAAACAAAACAAAAAGCGTACCCCTAACGGGCCACACTTTTAACAAAAAAAAACTATTATTAAAAATGGGATTTTTGGAGGCTCAAATTCAAGTGCAGGCCGGTTCTGTACGGGTGCGTTCCCCGGAACAATAGTCTGCTGCTGCTAGGTGTGGAGCTCGCCGCCACCAAGGACAATCCATCCATCCCTTGATGAGGAATACCACGGTCGGAGAATGGGGGCAGTCGGAGTTCAAATCCCAGATAATATGCAACATGACCATCTATTGGATATGTACAGCAGCAGTCTGCCACACACATACACAACGGGCCAAAGGGCCAAAAGGCGTGTGCCTGGCCAATGCGGCAGCATGGATGATTCACCTCTAATTTATCCTTCTTTTGATTTCCTCCTGCTCTTTGCAACTCCACATTTTTAGCTCGGGGAAGCGGGGAAACAGAGACATGACCACAATCAGCACAGGCGATTGCACGAGCTTTCCCGCTCATGCGGCAACCAGGCATGTTCTCGACTGCTGTCGTTCGCGGAGCGGTGAAAAAGGCGGACCTTCAACGTTCCTTCAGGCCGAGGGCGCAAGCCAGAGGGGCATTGCAGCGGTATCTCTAATTTATCCTTCTTTCGATTTCCTCCTGCTCTTTGCAACTCCACATTTTTAGCACGGGGAAGCGGGGAAACATAGAAGAGACATGACCACGATCATCACGGGCGATTGCACGAGCTTTCNACATACACAACGGGCCAAAGGGCCAAAAGGCGTGTGCCTGGCCAATGCGGCAGCATGGATGATTCACCTCTAATTTATCCTTCTTTTGATTTCCTCCTGCTCTTTGCAACTCCACATTTTTAGCTCGGGGAAGCGGGGAAACAGAGACATGACCACAATCAGCACAGGCGATTGCACGAGCTTTCCCGCTCATTCGGCAACCAGGCATGTTCTCGACTGCTGTCGTTCGCGGAGCGGTGAAAAAGGCGGACCTTCAACGTTCCTTCAGGCCGAGGGCGCAAGCCAGAGGGGCATTG